AAAAAAAAAAAAAAGACAAAAAGGGGCTGAGGATGCAACTCAATGCAAAGCCCTTAAATTCAAAGCCTGGTACCATAAAGCAAAACAAAAGCTTCCTCACCACTGTCATCCCAAGTTTTCTTTTCTTTCTTAGGGGAGGGAGTTGAGACAGGGTCTCACTTTGGAGCCCAGGCTGGCCTCAACTCACAGCGATCCTCCTGCCTCAGCCTCCCTAGTGCTGGGATTACAGGCGTGTGCCACCACGCCCAGCTCTTATCGAAATTTTTAAAGCAAAAATCTAACAACAGTCCTTCTCTAATTTTCTATTATTTTCCAACTTATCATTCACTGATGTCTCAGCGTCCTCAATTAGACATTTCCCATTTTGAGGCACAGTGTCGCACACACTGCATTGCGTTGAATCTGCATAAACGCTCTCAGGTTTACCTGAAGCAATCAGCGGTCCCGGTTACAGGTGAAAACAGCGCCACTAGCGATCCGCGTGGGCGCTGGGAGGGCCCGGAGTGTCTCTAGTCCCCGTTGCTCATTTTAACCGAGCTTTATCCAATTTGGGGGCAAGTGCTGTCCCCTAGTGGTGTCGGGGAGAAGTGCAGGGCACTTGTAAAGCGAATTTGAATACGGTTGAGAATTGAAACTCTAACTTTTTTTTTTATAGAGGTGTCATTTACATACAGTAACCTTCGCCCACAGTTCTGTGAGCACCGGCAGATGTAAACACCCCGAGCTGACACCCCGGTGGGTACCCGAGCGTTTCCAGGGCGCCCCGGCCCGAGCTCCCCGAAGCTGGGTTACTGCTCACAGCCTTCGAGCCTTACTGATACAGTATCCAAGAGTATGATTCAAGCGATTACACCCCGACCTTCAGGATAGCTACCTCAGTGCAAATATTAGTCTGCAGAAAATCTAGGTCAAGAGCCAATATCAGTTTCAATTTCATATGCATAAAACTTACCGGAAAGCATTTTACATTAAACCTTAAGACGGATAACTAGATTTATTATCAGCATAAATATTATGTATATCAGAAAATATAAACATTGGTCAACCAAGCTGGGTATGGTGGCACAGGCCTGTAATCCAGCACTCTGGGAGGCTGAGACAGGGAGATCTCAAGTTGGTGCCCAGCCTTCGAAACTTAGTGACTTAGCAAGACACTGTCTCAAAATTAAAAATAAAGAAGTCCTGGGTATGTAGCTCACAGTGAAGGCCTGGGGTTCAATCACCCACAAAAGATAAAAAACAAAGTAAAAATCAGTCAACTGTATTTTTTTTTTGGTACCGGGGATCGAACTCAGGACCTTTCGCTTGTGAGGCAGGTGGTGGAACCACTGAGCTACATCCCCGACCTCAACTGTATTTTTTTTAAGAGTAAAGTGACTGAAGTTGAAGTTTCAATCCTTAGCACCAAAAAAAAAAAAAAAGCAAAATTGACAGGAATCCAAAATACATA